TTATTAAACCTCACTCTGTTCAAGAAACAAAACAAAAACCCATCCAGAATTAATATAAAATGTGAGTGTTGGGGAAAACAGCCCTCACAGATGAGAGAGCATGGTTCTGGAGGGGCACAAAGCCCAGCACGGCTCTCTTCCCCCTACCCCTCGCATAGGGTTGGCCTTTGTGTCTTCTGCTCACCTCTGTTGTTAGAACAGATCCTTACCCAGCAGCACTCGTCAGGAGCCCTCCCTTCAACCAGGCAGCGCAGGCGCATTCAACTCAAACAAGTAAAATCTGCATCAGATCCTGAGAAGCAGCCTTGCAAAAAAAAAAACAAAAAAAACAAAACACCCACACCAAAGCCCTGTCAGTGCACAAAGTATGAGCCAGCTGCAGCACGCTGAATGTAGCCGTGTGCTGCTGCATGGTACGTGCTGTACAGCTCTCTGGGATGCTGCTATGCCAGGATTTAAAGACCACCGTTGAGACTGGGGGGGAGGGGGCGGGATTGGAGGTACCTCTCTGCCTCCTCAGCTCTCAGGGATAGATCCTTGGAAGTTATGGGAGCTGGCTGTGGGTTCAGGTGATCCTCAGTCTGGGCTGGGCAGCTCAGTAATATCTTCAAGGCGTGCACACCTCTGTTAGCACCGAGGAGCCAGCCCTCATCTTGCCAGTCCAACCCAGTTGGCACAAAATACCTTTTTATTTCGGTCCTGCTGCTCTCGGTGCCAAATCCTGATCCTGCTGAAGGCTGTAACAAAACTCTCATTGACTGCCATCGGGCCAGGATACAGCCAATGCAACCCTCAAGGATGAGGAGCGAGGGATGGAGGAGAGGGAGATAACGCTCCGTGCTCCAGGCATGGGGTGATTGGCTGCCTGTGGGCTCTGCGGTTGGGTGCGTTCACCTTTGTGAGCAATGTGCTGCTGGTTCTAACAGCGAGCCTTGCCAAATTCACCTGCTATCCTCTGGGCTGGCTGGTGGGGTGGCACCAATGTGAGTGGAAAAGCAACTTCTTGAAGACTCCGTCTCTCTGGGTGCCCAGTTCCTCTTTCTTTGTCTTCCTTCCCATCTGCCCCAGTGAGCCGGGGCTCTTGTGGGCTGTGGAAGTGATTTCCAAGAAGAGCCCTCAGCCTTGAGAGGCATTTCAAACAAAGCTGTTAAAAACCTTTTTGAGTTAACGTTGATGATCACCAAATCACCTTTCCCTCTTTTCTTTTTTTTTTTCTTTTTTTTTTCTTCGTTTTTCCCCAATATATCCAGTGCTTCCCCGTGCCAAATTCCCAATCAATAACGACTTCTTTAGAAATAGACCAGCAGTAACAAGGACTAATGGTGTAAACTGCTGCCTGCAGCATCTCTGCCTGGATGTGTGCAACCCTCTTCTTGCAGAGCTCAGGGTTGTCACCAGGCAGGCATCACTCAAGCTTTTTTCTGTGCAGTCGATCCAAGCCGATGATCTCTTCTGCTGAGCCCCAACTGTATTTCCTCCCAGCTCAGTCTGAAGAGCACCAATGGAAGGACACTAAATGACACGCAAATGAAATATATATGTATATGACTTTTGTTTTTTAATTAAGAGAAGCCAGCTCCCGAACAATGCTAGCATTTCTCTGGCTCTGAGGCACGTGTGATCACCCTAAATGGGCAAAAAAGCAAACTGCATCTTTCTCAGCAACAATGCTTCAGCTTCTGGGTCTGGATCTTCCAACTCTGGGGCTAACTGGTGGATAATGTTGGGGAAAATCGCCAAGTCATTTCCCACCCCCCTTCTCTGGATAAATCCATTTTTTTCCATGGCCTTTCTTCAGCTTTTGAGTTCCACATACCCAGATAACGTTCAAAACTAACTTGCGTACCAAACTCCTGTCCCTGTTCCATAGGACTCTGATTTCCCATGCTTGGAAGGGTGCAAGCCGGTCTCCTCTCATCCCAGTCTTTGCCCAGCCAGCTCTGTAAGTTCAGTGCCTTCGTTCTCCTGGCAGGAGCTCTGGCTGGAGAGGTTTAGCAGTGAGGGTTTTGTTGGAGATGTTTGAGCTTGCAGCTTGTTTTTATGGCGTGTGATGCCTTAAGGTGTATAAAAGGGATCTCTCTAACGTAAGCATGAAACTGCTGGTAGAAGGAGGTGGTTTGAACTGTAAAGAATAAACAGGCAGTCCGAAACTGCACAATTACAGAGATCCAGAGAAAAGCTTGCAGCGCTCAAAGCATGTCCGTTCTTACCAACTGCACCACTTGGTCTGAAAAGATACGGCCTCCTTGCTTCACTTGGAGTGAATAAAATGATTTATGGAAACTGGAGGAAAATGATTTTACAATTCCCATTTGCATGCCGGAGAAGAAGGGAATGAAGTAGAACTCTACGAAGCTGGGAGCGTAGCGGTGTTCGTCTGAGCCCCCATTTGGGAGAATAAAACCCTCCTGCTTGGGCTGCAGTCCTGCTTTGTGCCTTTAATAGTTAAATGTTTTTTAGAGAGCTTTTCTGGGAAGAAGAGAACTGAAAACTGCGCTGAAAAGCAAGGAGGTTAAGTTTTGAGTTCTCCTGATCTGTTTTGTCTTTTCAAAGGACAAGCTCTGAACTAAGCTACGTGAAGATCGAGCGAGATGTGAAAGCGTGACAGTCATACGTACAGGAAACCTTGAATCATTTCTGAGCTTCCTGGAACACGTCGTGGAGAGCTTATCATCGTGTTTACTAATGATGATCCCATCGCTGTTGGCCGGCTTAGAAAATGTCCAGCTGTACCAGCACCTCCATCTTGGGTGTGCGCGACTCATTGGGGCTCTTTAGAGATGTGTGCTGATGTCCCCATTGATACCATTTCATAACCGAGCGTAGGGAGCGGAGCACGGCCACCGCAACGGTGTTTTCTTTATCCTGGGGAAAAAGGTTGGCTTTGTGCAGCGAATATTTTTATACATTCCTCACGGAGCCTGACAAGCTTCAAAACTCTCACAGTCCCTGAGCCATTAACAAATCTCTCTTTAAATAGATAGGACGTTGCGGATGGAACGTCGGTATGTCTGTAGGACAGAGTCTGTCTTTTTTCAGGGGTGGAGAGAGTAGGAAGGGGTGGGAAGCTGCTGGCCCTCTCCGTGACCCACAGCTCCTTTAGCGTGTGCTGGAGCCCGGTAGGACTTGGGATTCGTGCTGGCCTCCAGCTCCCGTTCTTGCCGTGTTTGTCGGAAGTCACAGGAGGCGTGTTGGCCGTGAATGTCTGAACAGGAGATCCTCCCCACCATCCCCAGCACACGTGCGTGGCTCTGGAGTAGGCCGTGGAAGTGACAGCAGGGAGCGGAGAAAAACCAGAGCCCGGCAGTAGTGCTACATTTCAGAGGTTTTGCTCACCCGAGATTCCAGGCGCGGGGACTGCTGGGAGCTGGCCAAGGCGCTTGGATCGCAGCCTGCCTGTTCCTCAGCTCCGCCGAGCTGCTCCCTCCCCCCGCCTTGCTTTTTTTAATTGCATAATATGCTAGAAAATGATCTGGATTCGGGACTTATTTTTAACCAGAAAAGGCTTCACCCAATCTGATTCGGGATTTTGCATCCAGCAAATGCTTTCTGAACCTCATTCCTTTTTCCATCGAAACCCCGACTTTTTTTTTTTGTCCCTTCCCGTCTCTCCCATTTTGTGAGGGCTCTTCACTTTTCAGTGCTCCGCAGACGTTCCTGTGGCTGTCTGCATGTCCTTAGCAGTGCTGTCTGTTTGTCTGACTGGGTTGCAGTGACCAAACGCCTCACACCCGCCAGGCTCAGTCACTTTGTGGGCATGGCCCTGCTGGGGGAACTGAGAATGGTGCTCCAATAAGGAAGGCGTGTTGTGTCTCTGTATGAGAGCTGGGAGGCAGCTGTATAATGAAGCTTCTAGTTCTCCAGTCCGCCCTGCTCTGATGCACAACACGGGGGCTGTGCCTGTCATCATCCTGAGCGTGGAACGCGCTTTGGTTTGGGAGAAGAGAAGCCATCCGGTGACTCTGGGAAGCAGAGGTGGTGAAGGAGGGGCCGAGGAGAGGATCTCAGCTGCCTTGTGACAGCGTTTCCTGCCCCCACCAGCACAGCCCTCCCACGCTGCAGCAGGCGGTGCCCACTGAGCCCTGCGCCGTGCAGCCTTCGTTCCACGTACTCGTCCTCAGTGTGGGGCTGGGGCTGTGCCTCAGCTGGGTGCCCCGTGGCTGCCCTGCACCTGGAAGACTCTCTGATGGAGGTGCCCGTGTCCCCACACACCATGCACTGCACTGGCTGGGTCTGGGGTCCCCACTGCGGCAGCAGAGCTTGCACAGAATTTACTTGGCCATCAGGCTAAATGACCTGGCGGCTCTTCTTCTTTGTCTGTAATTTATCTAATTCTGTGATGAGGGAAATAACTGTGTTTCCTGCTCCAGTCGTGTAGGCCATATGCAATCATTTAAATAAACCCATGAGGTCAGAGACGCACCTATCCGAGGAGCTCAATTCCCAGGCTTCACTGAGGTCCCTCTGTTCACTGAGGACTCTCTCAGTGCATGATTGCTTGAGCCTTGTTCCCCTCCCCCCATGAACATAGATTCAAACAAAAAGGGAAATGACTTGCAAGAAGAGTGTGTCATGTTTCTATGCCTAGCAGTTCTCCTGCAGCAGTTAGGAAATTCTAAGGTGCGTTTAACAGTCTGTAGGTTGCAGATACCATGCGCTTCATCTCACATGCCAGGGGGAAACCTGCCACCAGGTACACAAGGGCTTGAGTTTCCCAGGTCCTCTTCTAGTTCCTGCTTAGGATTTGCCAGCATAGCTACACTTTAAAGTGATGGAACACGGAGTTCAGGTTGCTTCTGCTTCCACATCACCCCACTGTGAGCAAAGGGTGAGTTTTATGCAGGCAGCTCTGTGTGCGTGGGCTGACGAGGAGGGCACGGTTTGTCCGGGCTGCCCACACCTGGACAGGGCACAGGGATTGACTGGGTTACTGCTCGGGTGGAAAAGGAGAGCAGATTTCAGCTTCGCTGTCTTCACCAGTGCCTTCTCCTTCCTTTCAGATATATGTTGGGGAAAGGAGGAAAGCGGAAGTTTGACGAGCATGAAGATGGGTTGGAAGGCAAAGTGGTGTCTCCTACCGACGGTCCCTCTAAGGTGTCGTACACCTTACAGCGTCAGACTATCTTCAACATTTCCCTTATGAAACTTTATAACCACAGGCCATTAACCGAGCCAAGCTTGCAAAAGACAGTTTTAATTAACAACATGCTGAGGCGAATCCAGGAAGAACTCAAACAAGAAGGCAGCTTGAGGCCCGTGTTTGTGACCGCGTCGCAGCCCGCCGACCCTCTCAGCGACAACTTCCGCGAGGCCCAGCCGGCCTTCAGCCACCTCGCCTCCCCGTCCCTGCTCCCCACTGACTTGGTAAGCACTACGCCCCTGGAGTCCTGCCTCACCCCGGCCTCCTTGCTCGAGGACGACACTTTTTGCACTTCCCCGACCGTCCAGCACGACGGTCCAACGAAACTACCACCTCCTGCTCTCCAGCCAGTCAAGGACAGCTTCTCCTCAGCCTTGGATGAAATCGAGGAGCTCTGTCCCGCACCTACCTCCGCAGAGGCAGTAGCAGTAGCAGCCGAATCAGCCGCCGGTGACTCTAAAGCCCACCCCTGCGAGTCCAGCGTTCCCAAGCCCGAGGGCGTCGCGGAGAGCAGAACGGCCGAATCCAAACTCATGGAGCCGCTCCCTGGCAACTTCGAGATCACGACTTCCACAGGTTTCCTCACAGACTTGACCCTGGATGACATTCTGTTCGCTGACATTGACACGTCCATGTATGATTTTGACCCCTGCACGTCGGCCGCGGGGGCTGCCTCCAAAATGGCGCCCGTCTCGGCGGACGAGCTCCTAAAGACGCTGGCGCCGTACAGCAGTCAGCCAGTAACTCCAAATCAGCCTTTCAAAATGGACCTCACAGAACTGGATCACATCATGGAGGTGCTTGTTGGGTCTTAAAGTATAGAAATAGAGAACTTTCTCTCTCTCTCTCTCTCTCTCTCTCTCTTTATTTTTATTTTTTTTGTTTTAAGTACCAGTATATACACTCGGTAGTATTTCCATCATCCCTCCCACCCGATTCACAGCACTGTGCATGCGTCCTTGCTTGCCTTTTTGGAAAAGAAAAGGATCACACTAGTTTTTGCTTCAAGCAGAGTTGGAGTGCCTTCATCCATGTACGACCACTTCTAATGTATTTTTTTCCAAGTGGTTCCTCAAGGAAGACCGAATATCCCGGTATAGGAAAGAATACGTATTGTAGACAATGTTATGTTATTACAGAAAAAAAAAAAGAAAAAAAAAGAAATTGTACAAGCTAAGCACAAGGATTATGTTGGGGAAAGCTGTAAATTGCATGTGCATATTTGTCTATTTTTTCTATAAGTTTTATTGCGAGAGGTTAAAAAAAAAAAAAAAAGAATTATTATTTAGATAATCTCAATACCATTTTAGCCCTGTAGAGGTTGACTCAGCAATTCAGCCTTTTGGAGGCATTAACCCGCTCCTCTTTAAGTGTTGCATTTACATGGCTGTTCAGAAACTGCTGCCCAAATTTATTTTATATTTTTGTACAGATTCTGCAGTTTATGATATTGTTTTTTCTAAAAACAAATGCTGTTTATACACACAGAAAAAAAAAAATAGCTATTTTGATAGGATTTGCTCACATAGTTCCTGCATAATTCAGATGTACAAGAACCACTTGTACTTTTATACAGAGTTGTAACGTTTTATATGTGTATGGTGCAAAGAGAAAATTAGATCAAATAAGCCTGCGGTCGGTTTCCCTGAATGCAAACAAAACAAACCAAGTGCTTTAAGAAAGGGCTGGCAGCTGCTTCTGCAGGAGCCTCGCCAGCGTCCGCTCCCTGCTGTACCCACTGCGCACTACTGTGATCCCCAAACTCAGAGCCATGTCCTTGTCCAACACGTCCACGGAGCGGTCGGCAGGAAACAGCTGTGGAACTGCACCCGGCGCTGCTCTCCTTCCCCCCCTTGGCTCCTTGGTTCCGTGCCAGCAGCACCCGCGGGCCCTTTCTTGGAGCATCTCTCCTTTCCTCGCCCCACCTCACTGTGCTAAGTGCTGAAAAAGGCAACTTCAGTATTACTGCAGTGAAGCTCATCTCTTACCTGCACTGGATGGACTCGCTTTCGTATCCATTGCTGTTGAAACTGGAGCCAGTCGTGTTACATCGCTCGGCATCTCGTATAGGGTTGGTTTCTCGTATCGACTGCGTTACCTGCTTTACACTTTATAGACCTGTTTTACAACAAATATACAGACACAGCTTTCTATGCATGATCCCACCCCCCCGTGACACCTGACAAGTCTTCTCATTACCGCACCGATAGCATTTTTTGAGTTCGTCGTGGTGTACATTTAATTTAAAGACAAAACGCTCGCAGTGCATCATGCCTGTCGCTGAAGTCGCTGTGGCATTTTAGTTTTCTGATGGTACTTTAGCTGTTGAGCGCCGGTTACAACCTATATTGTTGACATGCCTATGGCTTCTTTAGGAATAACTTTTATATTTATTTAAGAAATTTTAAATTATGTTTGACGTCATTTGGCAATATTCAGTCAGCTCTGCTCCCTTCTTGTCATGGATGAAATTGGGTCTCGCTCGCCTCAGAAGGAGGCAGCTTTCTATAAATTGGCACTTTAAACCAGGCCATATGTATTTATTAGCGTAGAGATAGATAGCTAGACATAGATCTGCACACAGACAGAGCATAGAAGCAAACACATTTTGCAATGAAGGAACTCCTGATGGAAACAAAAGGCACCACGTCCAATCACCAACCGCTTCTGCATTCCTCCGCCCTGCAGAGTGGGGCTGGAGGCAGCCGGCCCAAGGAGGGTTTGCTTTCCTTTATTTCCAAACCAAACTCGGTGATGCTGATGGATCCGACGGACTCAGCACGTAGGTGATTGCTTCCAGCACAGGTGCTGACCAAGCACGGCACAGGGACCACGGCAGCAGGAGGGCCCTTGCTCAGCCACAGCCCCCCACAGCAGCTCAGCCCCCTCAGAGCAGCGCTGGGGACGCAGCGGTGCCCATTGCACAGACCTGGAGGCACGCAGCACCAGCAGCCATCTCACACCGTAACTCGCCCTGTGCTCGCATCACCGTGGTGAAAAACCAATTGGGAGCACACTGGAGCTGCCCTTGTTTTTTGGGGGTTATTTACACAGTCAAACAAACACCATATGTTAGGCAGAAGTTCGCGTAGATGCTATTTGGGGAGCGCTGTGCCGTTGCTCAGGCGCAGCTTGCCGCAGTTTTGTGCTCACAGAAGAGGGGATGAGCACCAAACACACCTCACCCTGCACAAGGCAGCACTGCAGCCCGGGTCCCAACAAACAGGAGCCCTATGCCAGGCACGGAGAGTGACATTAATGTGCAATGAAGTGACAAGAGGGGAGCAGAATAAAAGAGCTTTGGATTTGAAGTTTCTTTTTTTTTTTTTTTTCATAAATTATTTATTCTTTTTTTTTTTCCTTCCTTCTGTAAATATATTTATTTTATTGTGAAGCTAACAACATCTGGATTGTAACATGTACAGAATGTATGGTAGGAATGTATTCTCTTGTAGGAATGTAAATCTGTATGAACAAGGGTATGGGAGCCAGATTCAGAGCAAACCAATTGAGTTCCAGGCAGGACAGGGATGGGTCACAGGACATTTTTTTCCACCTTCACTCTTTCTAGTATGGGTTCAGTTGCTGGAAATCTGGAAAGAAAAAAAAAAAAAAAAAA